ATTAATCTTTGTACTTGTGAAACGACTATTTCCGAAAACACTTAAGTATATTGATTAGTATAATTTGCACGTATCAGTTGAATGTCTGTCGAAAGTGTAAGTAATTATAGGATTTTTTTATTATTTTCTTCAACTGAATTTCCTTTTTAAACGTGTAAATCAACGAATTAGAAGAGCCGGCTTGCCGTTCATATGATTCTGATTTTCCTAATTGGGCAATGTTTGCTGCAACGTTCAACGCAAATTCGGATGCGCGTGTATGTTACCTATAAAGTAGTCGGCCCACACACCACATACTCTTGCCGACATGGGACTTCTGTGGCGCGTTCGTGAGAGCAAGCGCCTTTCACTTCAGAGATTATGGGTTCGATTTTCGCTGCGGACTTGTGGCACTTTGTGAAAAGAGTCGGGCAATTAACGCTCTACGGAAAGTCGTGGGTTTTCTCTGGGCACTCTCATTTTCTCCCGCGGGGAATGTTGAAAGGGTGGTTAGCCCCTAAGGTGGGGTGGTTAGCCCCTAAGGGTGGTTAGCCCCTAAGTCACCCTTCCACCGTAGCTGCCGTGCTTGCAAGGGGAGGTGGGGGAATTTCCTTACCAAATCTTGTTTTGGAATAACACAATACGAGGATATCTGATAAGTCAATGAACTGTGTGTTTCATTCTTCGTAACAACTGGAACAGGTTCAAAGATCTCTCGAAGTTTTTCTCAAAGGTTTGTTTTAAAGTTATACACAGGGAGATATAACTTGTATGCACAGGCGCGTCGGTTAAGACGAAGACACTGAAGCAATAGTTTATTGTTTACATGTATTCAATTTTACCCAAGTTGCTTCGTTTTCATGTTTGCCTGTTATATCAGGTAGCAAACTTGATCCACCCCAGTTCTAATGTAAAAATATTGGCTGCTGGTTTCACTCAAACCTACAGATGGCGGAACATATTACGAAACGTGCAAAGCCTGCTTTTTCCATCTTCATAATATCAGACGTATCAAGAAGTACTTATCAAGAGAAAAGTGCTGCCTTTACATACATTGACATCAGTAAATGGTTAGACTTTCGCGTCTTCTCGGATAAGGACGTTAAACTGATCGTAGGTATCTCGGATCCCCTATCAATTGGACATTGAACAATAGCCTGTTGGGAAATCCCCTCACCAATGAGTGAGAAAATAAAAAATAACAAGAATAAATAGAGGCGAGCTACCAAATGGATCTTCAGATACAAAGGAAAAGAAATGTCTTACCATCAGAGACTGTATGCAGACACTCCACTTATTGCCTTCATGCTATGACAGGGAAATCAAAGACCTAACGTTTTTCTACAATAAGGCCTTATATGGGTATATCACCGTGGACGTCAATCAGTATTTTCAGCCATTCCAAAAAACTAAAGTTGTCCTTTGAAAATCTTAAACCTATAATTAAGCTCTGTGCGCGTAAAGCTTAATGGGAGCACAAGTTTCAAGCTTAGTAGTTGAATATTCAGCTATTTGTGAATGAATCGTTTTTATAAGGAGATAATTACCATGTCTCTAAGAAATGGGCACGTTGTTTTAAGTACCGCATATTTATTAAATATTAACCATGCCATGGCCATGCCACGTGATCGTACGTGCGTGCGCGTGAAATATTGGAAGATGGCCGAAGGAGTTCGCCATATTCTTTAGAGACAAACATTTGGAAAGTGAAGGGGGGGGTGAACAGAAAAATCCATACAAGCAAACGTTCTGAACAAATATCTATAGAGCCAGAAGGCGGGAGAAAAAGATATCACACGACATGAACACCAAGTGAACCGTAAAACAATCATTCATGTCTCCACATGTTTTTTTCTAACTTATTCGTGAACATTTATCAATTATTGGAAGAGGTTGAGCAAAATATCGTGATTTGTCGGTGACGAGCAGAAGGCAGAGGCAAATAATTGATCTGCATGCTCGCCACCGACAAATCACGATATTTTGCAAGAACCGACATGAATATTAAATTGTTTTATCATTCTCTTATCCGCGTTATATAACGTCTTATTATCGTTCTATCATCCGCGTTTTTTTCTTCAAGCAAGCAAGCAAGCAAGCAAGCAAGCAAGCAAGCAAGCAAGCAAGCAAGCAAGCAAGCAAGCAAGCAAGCAAGCAAGCAAGCAAGCAAGACAACTGATCTTCCGAAAGTTCAGCCATTGTTTACAAATGGCGAGCCGCCATTGTTTACAAAAATTGAAGGCAATACGCTTGCACAGAGTATTATTTGTAGCTGAGAAACATTTTTAACAAATGCGCATGCTCATGATTTGCACGCAGTTATTTGCAGTTAAATTAACCAATCAAAATTTGAGAAAACTATAAAGGAAATGATAATGTTCAAATTAACATGCATTTAGATCAGTTTTTGTTCCAAGTAGCAGCAGTTTTGTTGGTCGTATTGCTTTCACCTTAATTAGCTCAAGACCAGTCCGAAATTACCCGCTCTTGTTGCCATGGTAACTAATAAGAAATAAAAAAGAGTCAGAACGATCGAGGTGGCGGAATTGCTAATATGTTTAGTGCAACCTGCAGCGGCTGTTTTAATGTCACCTGCAAATGTCACACAAATATCAGCACGAAGTCTCAAATTTGCCTACACAAGTTTGAAACTTGTATCAGATTTGTAAAACAGTTCATTTTTTATTGTCCAGAACTCCTCTTGACCTAATTCGTAGGTTTTTATACTTCATTCTATTAATTCACTCAATTATACCTGCAGAATTGCTTACATAATGACCATTAAAAATTCATGTTTTAATAAACACGACTGTTGCGTCGTTTAATAATTTTGCCATACGTGCACTTTGATAGTAGTGTAAGAAAAGTGTTCGGCAGTTTTAACTCCAAGGGAGAAATGTAAAGCCTTATCTGTAACAGATTTTAATTTTTATAGTTCAAAGTGAAATGTATTTTCTGCCTTCGTTTCTTATCTTTTGCTGTTTCAGTGTAAGTTTGTTGCGTTGTTTTGAAAGAATAATTTGAACATGGTTGGTTTCTATGTTCGATAAATAACCTTCTTCTTTTGTTCCTTTAGGTTGTGTGGAATTCGTCCGCCAATGGAGAGAGTGTAGCTCAGGGTAAGTTGAACATTCTTTTAAAGTTTTACCGCCCCAGTATTTGTCGCTGACGTTTTAATGTGAAGCACTGCAGGCATCTTTCTTGTAAGATGTGACTTTCTTGATAAAACTGACCCATTAAAAAATGGCCAAATCTACTGGAGTTGTACGACTTGTTTAGTAACATTATATCTAAAAGTTATATTGAACAGTTACATTACACTGCATAAAATTCCTGAGTGTTTTGGCTCAAAAACGTAATAAAAAAAAGTTTTTTAATAAATTATACTCAAATTTATGTGCAAATTTGCTCAATTGTTTTAGTAAATTTTCGAATTTACTCAACTTTATTAAAAAGTAAGTGAATTTGTTCATATAAATTTGTGTAATTTTAATATTTTTAATCACTGTAGTGCATTATTTCACTCTAATTTTTTAGTCAAAATTTTTTGCAATGTAGTTATCGGTTTAGCCTTAGCCTTATCTCGCGCTATAAGAGGACCTCGAAGTATACCCAGCAAAATGGCGAATAAGCTGGAATCTGAACAGAGTCATTGCAGCTTTTGTAAAAGGAGTCTTATTCGTTATGTTTGTGTTTACGATCGATAGAGAAAACTGCTTTCCATGCTGAACTTGAACAAAGCAGTTATTCTCAAGGAAATTTTGTCCTACACAAGAGCTATAGTAAAAATGTTCAAGGGAAATTATCAAAAGCAAGCTGTCAAGAAAATCTGTGGAAGGAAATTTTCATCACCTTCATATTGAATCTTTCTTATAATTTTCTACGCTGCAGGGGTGGTGCATAACATGTATTTTACATCTTATATCGTATCTTTAAATTAATGTGCATACTATTGCCTTCTAAAAGCTCACTCACACTCCATGAGTGGAAGTTTAATCTGAGCTTCTCTCGAGTGTCGTTGCTGTTTTTGAATAGTTGGAGAGCTAGTGTCGTACCTTCAGTGTGCAGACTACTCACCCTCCAGCTATTCAAAAACAGCATTGACACTCAAGAGAAGCTCAGATTGAACCTCCACTCATTGAGTGTGAGTGAGCTTTTAGAATACAAGCGTACTTTTTTAATTAATGCGTGCAATTGGACATTTCATATATTTCAGTGTATTCGATGATGTCACTTTTGACATTGTTACATTGGCAATTTCAAATTATGCTATTTTTAGTTCACAAGGTTTAAAAATGAAATGAAACCACTTTGGTGTTAACCGCAAAGAACAACCAAACAGCTACAATTATGACAGCGTTTTCATACAATGCTATATAGCTGTGCTGATTTTTTAATACACGTTTCGGTGATGCGATATGCAGTTGTCTAATTGCAATTTCGTCTATGTGGCATATGGGAAGACTGACTGAAGACTTTCTCTTATACTAAGACTGACCCAATAAGGGATGCAGATAGTAATGGCGACAGGAGGGAGGTGAAATGTTCTTGGTCACTATCGTGGCTAATTTAACCAGGTTATATGGTTGAATTAATCAGCTTACAGTTGGTGGACTATTAACAACGAACTCCTGGTTAATAATCCACCTAAACTTAATCTTACTAATGGGTGGACGAAATTTTGATCTATACACCGCAAAAAAAGAAAGTTCCCCCCTAAATACATCAGAATAAGTTCTAAACAAATGAGTCGTTGTTAATCAAACCTAGAACTAATTAGACCTATGGTAGTTTGCTTAATGGTGTGTGAAGAATATGGTCACACATGGTTGAAAGAATGACTTAACCCCCATTGAACACAAAAATACCCGATTGCAAAATTAACATGTTGAATGGGCTAGTGTGATCAGTCTCATTCACCATTCGTTGGTAAACACAAAATCGTACTGAAATCGGGTAAAGCAGTTTAAATCATGCCCAGAATATCGAACCAAACAGGGCAATAGCTATTGGCCTTTTAGAGGCCGGTACTCCTGTTAAACAAGTACGTAGCAAGAAGGATGGGTGTAAGCCCGAATGCCATAAGGAAACTGCGGCAAAAGTTCATGGAGACTGCCAGGTGAAGGATAGACCTAAAGTAACGACTCGTCGAGAGGATAGACTGGTCATTAATCGGACATTACGGCGAAGGACATCAACAGGTGAAAACACAAGCGTTTTACACGATTAACTTTACATTTTCAGTTTTTAGAGTTTTTATTCATTTGTAGGACTAGAGATCCAGACTGGGCTTCGCGCTGCGAATCAACAAAGGGTTAGTGTGCAGACGATCAGAAATCGTTTACACAGTGCTGGGCTCTATGCTAGACGTTTGGTTAAAAAGGCAAGGGCACATTCACGATGGACTAGGCAACAGTGGAAGAATGTCTTGTTCACAGACGAAATGCGTGCCTGTCTCCGGCATATTGATGGAGAAGACGTGTCTGGCGCCGGAGGGGGGGGG